ACCCAGATGCGAGCCCAAAAGAAAATCAATATCTTAAGTGATCCGTATAAGATCCGCCTGTACGCTTAACATGTATAAATTTCTATTTTACGGGCAAGCTTTTCCTAATTTTTATTTTGTCCAGTGTAGATGTAAAAAGAATGATTTCTACTGCTACTACGAGTATTATCTATTCTTTATATTAAAAGGATTTGGACCTTAATTATTATCCAAATCCCACTCTATTATATTATTAGTTACTAGTTAATCCCAAATAGTATGTCAGCATTTTACTTACATTTTCATTCATATGCTTTATACATATGCATATGTATGCATGGAACACGAATATGGGTGTTCACTAAATCATTCAGCAATAATTGTTTCCTAATCAACAACAACAACAACAACAAGCCTTTATCCCACTAGGTGGGGTCGGCTACATGAATTGCAAGACGCCATTGTGCTCTATCATTTATTAAGCTTTTAGAAATATTATTAATTAAGAGATCACGTTCAACAACTTCCAAGAGTGTTCTCTTAGGCCTTCCTCTACCTCTCTTAATCGGACTCAAAGTTATATGTTCCACTCTTCTCACTGGTGCCTCCCTTGGTCTTCTTTGTACATGCACAAACCATCTCAACCGATTTTCTACCATTTTTTCCTCAATAGGTGCCACCCTCACTTTTTCACGTATGTGCTTATTTCGAATTTTATCTTTACGTGTATGTCCGCACATCCATCGTAACATTCTCATCTCTGCTACTCCAACTTTATGCTCTTGCTGTCCCGTTAGAGCCCAGCATTCACTACTATATAATATTGCCGGTCTGATAGCAGTACGATAAAACTTTCCTTTAAGTTTATTAGGCACCTTACGGTCACAAATAACTCCTTTAGCTTTTCTCCAATTAAACCACCCAGCTTGAATTCTATGTGAAATATCTCCACTGATTTCGCCATCATTTTGAATAATGGCTCCCAAATATCTAAACTTTTCCACTTGAGGTATGATTTGATCTCCCAATTTCACTTCCAAATTATTTTCGAATAGTCTTTTACCAAATTTACAATATAAATATTCCGTCTTACTTCTACTCAGACGAAAACCTTTCAACTCCAATGTCCTCCTCCATAACTCAAGTTTGCAATTAACCTCTTCTCTTGTCTCTGTTATAAGAACTATATCATCCGCGAAGAGCATACATTTCGGGATTTCCTCTTGAATATGTTCCGTCAAAACATTTAAAATCAAGTTGAACAAATAAGGACTCAGAGATGATCCCTGATGTAGTCCAATCTTTATAGGAAAATCCTTTGTTTGACCACTAGGCGTTCTTATACTAGTTTTTACCCCCTCATACATATCTTGTATGGCTTTAATATAAGCAATCCGTACTCCCTTTTTTTCCAACGCTTTCCAAAGCACTTCTCTTGGTATACGGTCATAAGCTTTTTCCAAATCAATAAAAACCATGTGTAGATCTTTATTTTTACAACGATACTTTTCCATTAATCCCCTTAGTAGATAAATTGCCTCTGTAGTTGATCTACCTGGCATAAAACCAAATTGATTCTCAGAAATACTTGTCTCTAATCTCAACCTGTGCTCAATTACTTTCTCCCACAATTTCATTGTGTGGCTCATGAGTTTAATCCTTCTATAGTTAGTACAATTCTGAATATCTCCTTTATTTTTATAAATAGGAATTAATGTACTTCTCCTCCACTCATCAGGCATTTTCTTGGACCGTAAAATCACATTAAATAACTTAGTTAACCATCTCACCCCTTCTTCACCTAAACATTTCCACGCTTCGATAGATATACAATCAGGTCCGTTAGCTCTACCATTTGCCATTTTCTTAAGAGCTTCCTTTACCTCCTTATCACGTATTTTTCGATAGAATGACAAATTTTGTTCTCCTTCACCAGTTACTAAATCCTCCAAGTTACTAGATGAATCCTCTCCATCATTGAAAAGTTTAGAAAAATAAGTCTCCCATCTATTTTTAATTTCATCATCTGTAACTAAAATTCTTCCCTCTTCATCCTTAATACACCTTACCTGTTCTAGATCTCTTGATTTTCTTTCCCTACTCTTGGCAATCTTATAAATATTTTGCTCTCCTTCCTTCGTCTCAAGGTTCTTATAAAATTCTTCAAAAGCTTTGGACGAGCTTCACCCACAGCTCTCTTAGTTTCCTTCTTAGCCATACGGTACCTCTCCTAATTTTCCTCATTGTTACACAAATGTATGGCTTTAAAACAGTTCTTCTTATACTTGATTTTGTCCTGTACACTATTATTCCACCACCAAGACTCCTTATCTCTCGGACCAGAACCTTTCGATTCTCCCAAAACTACTTTTGCAACCTCCCGTATCTTTTTAGCCATATCCTCCCATATGATGTTAGCACTTCCCTGAGAATCTCAAATTCCTTTATCCAAAAGATTTCGCTTGAAAATATCTTGCTTCTCACCTTTTAATTGCCACCACCTAATCTTTGGTGTTACTACTTGTCGACGTTTTTGGATTTTACTCATAATACACACATCAAGGACTAGGACCCTATGTTGTGTCGTTACAGCATCTCCAGGGATCACCTTACAATTTTTACAAAGTTTTCTATCTGTGTTCCTAACCAAAAGAAAATCAATCTGCGACCTTGAGGCTCCACTTTTGTAAGTGATGAGATGCTCATCTCTCTTTTTGAAACAAGTGTTGGCAATCTTAAAATCATACGCCAATGAGAAATCAAGAAGAGTTTGCCCTTCATTGTTTAGCTCTCCAAAACCAAAACCACCATGCACCCTAGCATACTGACCAGCTTCCCTCCCGACATGCCCATTAAAGTCTCCTCCAATAAAAATCTTTTCACTCTGTGGTATGTGTCGAATCAACCCCTCCAGATCCTCCCAAAATAATTCCTTAAGATTGGCTTCTGTCCCGACTTGCGGCGCATAAGCGCTAACAATATTAACAGTCTCACGTCCAATTATCATTTTTAAAGAAATAATTCTGTCTCCAATTCTGCTAACTTCTACAACGTTCTTCTTCCACTCCTTATCTATAATGATGCCTACTCCATTGCGTGCACTTACTTTTCCTGTATACCAAAGTTTGAAACCTTGAATATCCTTAGCTCCTTCTCCACGCGATTTTGTTTCTTGCAAGCAAAGGATATTGATTTTCCTTTGAATCATAACCCCTACAACCTCTACAGATTTACAATTTAATGTCCCAACATTCCAAGTACCAAATCTAATTTTGCTCTTATGGACTAACTTCTTTAGCCGCGTGCGTCCAAAATGACGCGGTAGCCCTTGCTCATTTAACACTACATCCGGGCGCCGATGCAGCGGCTCTAACTCACTTATCACTGTACTCGAGCCATGCAGCGCGTTACTTACGGGCAACGACCTAGTATTAACATTATAACGTCTATTGTCCATGTTCATGATAGATTCAACAAATTTTTACATTGGCTGTTGATGGCCTAACACAACCCTCCTCCTTTACCCGGGCTTGGGACCGGCTATAAAATTGTTTCCTAATCAAGACAGTAAAATACTAGTTTTCAACGTGTGTCGGCTCTAAAATTTAAATATAAAATATTCCTTATCTTTAATATTACAAAACATTTTTAATCAAATTATATATTCAAATAAATTAAATAATTATCATTTAAATCATACACTTTTTTATATTTATCCTTATTTAACATTTATCTCAATTAGAAAACATTAGTAGTTACCCTCTTGTGTTGGTTATTAGGCATGAGTAAATTTGGCTTGATATGAAGAAAAAAGTCATATTGAATAAAATTGGGTTATAGAAGAGATATTTAAGCAAAAGAAAAAAATGATAAATTCAATGTCTTAAAATTTTAAATTAAAATGTAGTGTTATATGCACTTATATGTGTCATCTTCTTCCAAAACACTCCACAAGCCAACGCCCTTAACTAAGGGTATTTTTTGAAAAATATAATCAATTATATATTGAAATATTCAAAATACTTTATATTTTTTAAAATTCTTAAAAGAATGTGGTAATATATCTTTTCTTCAAACGCCTTATGCTGTTATTTTATTATTTGATAAATAATATCTTTGTCATTTAAACAAACCATTAGTTCTTTTTGGCGAATCAGTCATTGCAAATATCTTGAATTGTTTAGTTTTTACTAAGTTAGTTCTAAGAAAAAAAAAACTTTTTAACTTAAAGAGACTTAGATCTTAAAACGGGGATTGAAAAGGATATGAAAATTATTCAACACTCTAACTTTCATCCCCTTTCAAAAAAAAAAAAAAAATCAACTGGCAGAAGGATGACAAAAGATGCAAAGCTACCACTAAATAACAAAACACATACGGTGTTTTTGGAGTTCAGTTGAATAAAATTAATTATAAAAAATTTATTGATATGATTGATTTTGATTATAAAAAAAATAATCTAATTATATATGATGCATGTGAATTAATCATCCTATCTTATTTTTCTTTTTCACTTGAATCTAAAAGGTTATTATTAAGCGCAAAGACATGCATTATGTATGTATTCATTGATTTATAAAATGGTATCATTATGTCGTATATATGCAATGTAATCCACGAACTAGTGTCTATTACTTAATGATAACTAGATGCTATAAATAGACGTCGACATTATAGTCTCGTAAATATATATGATTTAAAATGAATATGAAGTATTCTTCACGCTTCTCTCCTCTCCCGGACTCAATTTAATTTGCTTTTATCAAGTCAATTATGCTCTCATTAGTTATATAAAATCTTTCTATTATTACTATCCAATTTGTTTTTCATCTTTGATTTCATGAATTGCTTTTAAGTTGTTACATGCATGCACATCCATGAATGTGTAGTTTTGTTCAATGAACTTGTAGTTTTAAATTACACATCAGCCTCAACGCCACGACAAACCTCATCAATTTTATATTTTCATCTAACTCCGTGCTTCGCAGTCATCTGTCATCTTGTTCATTGCAAGCGTTTTTGACTTTTACGAACTTAATTCTCTTCCTTAACCACTCACCTGGCTTGCTTGCTGGACCTCGTCTAAAGACAAAGTCATGGACAACAATAACACAGAGGCAAGCGGACTTTCAAGTCCTCTCCTCGTCGGAGGCATAAATGAATCCTACCGAAACTCAGATGGGGGAAACATCTGCAGTGATATCACTGACCACCATGAAAACAAGTATAGCAAAGCTTCTCCGGCGACACCAATTCTTATACTTGGCACCATTATTGCTGTCTCTGGTTCTTAGGTTTTTGGGTCTGCTGTAAATTTCTGCCACCTAGTTTCCAATTACTAAGTTTGGCTCACGAGGTTTCACCTCTGACTTGAGTATGACTGATTTTTACAGGTAGGTTATTCATCACCTGCTCAATGTGGAATTATGGACGACGTCAGTCTCAGTGTGGCAGAGGTTTAATTTGAGCTTCGAATCAAAATTCTCGTTTACCTCATAAATTCTCCATTAGCTTAGATTCATTTTTGTATTTTAAGTATTGTATATTACAACAGAATATCAAGAATTGCTGTATGTGCAGTTATTTTCAGTATACTCCCTCGTTTGCTCGCTTCTGCCATGCCAAACCGTCTCTCTAACTCAATTCTCATAGTGCAGTATTCAGTGTTTGGCTCGATACTGACAATTGGGGCAATGATAGGTGCCATACTGAGCGGTAGAATGGCAGATTATGCAGGTCGTCGAGGTGTAAGTTTCTCCCATTGCTATTTATCTCTAATATCCTTTACCAAAGCTTTGCGGTCAAGCTTGACCCCTCTTTTAATTGTGGTCGTTTGGTTACTTCTGCAAATCTCAGGCCATGTGCTTCTCGCATATTTTTTGCATATTGGGATGGCTTTGCATAGCAATCACAAAGGTCTACCACCATCTTTCCCATTTTATTCCCACACTTCTTATGTTGCTTAGTTACTTGTTAGTTACATGAAGTCAAGACAGAGGAGTCAGAGATGAATTAACTCACTAGCTCGCTATAAATTGTTTATGTTGAATGCTTGGTGCGTGTTTAAAGGTTGCCTGGTGGCTTTACATCGGAAGACTGATGGTAGGATGTGGGATGGGTCTTCTATCTTATGTGGTAATTGTTGTGATTTCTATAATTACAGTTTATATGATACGCATTGACTGTTTCCTTGCGAATGGAACTAATAGCTGGTTCTCTTTCCGCCAAAGGTGCCAATTTATATAGCAGAAATAACACCGAAGAATCTTCGAGGGGGATTTACAACAATTCATCAGGTAAATCAATAACGTATGCCCTCCAAAGATCCTTTAACTCTCATTTTCCATGTATAGATGATTGTTAAATCCCAGTTCGACATTAATATAATTGTGACAGTTGATGATCTGCTGTGGAGTATCTTTGACTTATCTCATCGGAGAATTTGTGAGTTGGCGGGTTTTGGCATTACTTGGTAATGTTCTTTTACTATTGTTCATTTCACTAAATGAAAAAACATAATCCTTGTTAGGCTCTAATTTTTGGTGTTCATATCAGGAACAATTCCATGTGCTGTACAGCTTCTAGGCCTGCTCTTCATTCCTGAGTCTCCTAGGTGGCTTGTGAGTTCCTCATCTTTGCTCCGCATTTTCATCATTTTTTCAAATGGACTGAGCAAAGATAAGTCATTAGACTGTAAGCTTGTGCAGGCAAAGGTTGGTCGCATGGAAGAGAGTGAATCCACCTTAAAAAACCTCAGGGGAGAGAATGCAGATGTTTATGATGAAGCCAATGAAATCAAAGTATGTGTCAATTTCAATATATCAGGAAGCAAATATGTGGATGCCATAATTTAGTATGGAATATTAAATACTTCCCCACTTATTCTTCTGTAGGACTATACAGAAAACCTTCAGAAAGAATCAGAAGCTAGAATGGCTGACTTATTTCAGCGGCAGTATTTTAAATCACTTACTGTAAGCTTCTTAAGCTGGCCTCATTCATGTAACTTACCAAATTGCATAGTTTTATGGGTTATTGATTCTTTAATCAGGTCGGGCTCGGATTAATGATACTACAACAATTTGGAGGGGTTAACGGCATTGCATTTTATGCAAGTTCCATATTTACCTCTGCTGGTACGTGGGAAGTATGTGTTGATGCTTCTTTTATACATTCATGCGCGGGCGCGCGCGCACATATATAAGATTTTTGAAAATTAAAAAGCAAAATCTTTGATATTCGACAGGTTTCTCAGATAGCGTGGGAACAATAGCAATGGTTGCTGTTCAGGTTCTTGAATCTCTTAATTAACCTAGTTTTTTGTTTTCTGTTTAACGGCGAATAAGTTGGCTTATATAGATGTCTCCTTCTAGATCCCAATGACAGCTCTGGGCGTACTTTTGATGGATAAATCTGGACGGAGACCACTTTTGTTGGTGAGGATGCTGAACTTGGTCTTAATTTTTTTTAAGGCGTTAGATCAAATGAAGTTGTGAAGTTAAATGTTCATGTAGTTAATTACTCACCGTATAGGTCTCTGCTGGGGGAACATGCCTAGGATGCTTTCTCGCGGGCCTATCATTCTTATTGCAGGTTCATTTATTTATTTAAAAAAAAAAAATCTGCTCCGTACGTGTTGTTTTCTCTTCGCTTCTATTTATCTCTAATTTGTATAGATATATATATATATATATATATATATTTTGGAATACAGGACCTTCAGAAGTGCAAGGAGGTTTCTCCCATTTTGGCTCTTGGTGGTGTACTGGTATTGATAATGATAATCACCCTAATAACTGTTCTTTTGTGTGTAAGAAATAAGTAAAATGTGGCTCGTACAACATAAAGTAGCTGTAAATAGCAAACGTAGAGTCACATTAATTCTTGCTTTGCTTTGGTGGGAGAAATAGCTTGAGATTAACATGATACCTTTCAAGTTAAAAGCTAAGCTCTGTGATAATTTGGCAAGGACTCATTATACATGTTCAAAATTATCATGGGGTTCTCAATCCAAGTTATATAGTTTAAGTAGAGCCACGACTGATAAATGATCCACACATTTTAATGTTTATGAATTGTGAGAATGGACAGGTATATACAGGATCTTTCTCGTTAGGCATGGGAGGAATTCCTTGGGTTATCATGTCTGAGGTATAGTTTTGTGTTTGTATCATATTATTATATTGTAAGAAATCCTCAAGGTGGCTGAATATTTGAATTTTGGGGCATGTTCAGATATTTCCCATTAACGTGAAGGGGTCTGCAGGAAGCCTTGTGACCTTAATTAGCTGGTTAGGTTCTTGGATAGTATCATACGCTTTTAACTTCCTCGTGGGTTGGAACTCAACAGGTAGACCTCCTTGGCTTAACTGCTCAGCGAAAAAAGAGCAGTCCTGATAATATTTGTCCGGTTTCGGTGCTCAGTAGCTTGCTGTGCACCTCAATACTCATCATAAAAAAGTATTTGGGTCATCTAGATTTTTTCAATTTTAATTTTAATTTTATAAAAATAAAATTTATAAATTTTTTTGATAAATATATTTATCATCAATTTGGATATATTTATCATCAATCTGGATAGTACTGATTAAATTCAGATGGTTCAATTTAATATTATAATTTTCATAAATTAACTATCTGGATGTGCTCTGAATAATCCAAATTCAACATTAAATTTTTATCTGCAAAGCCTAGATTTAAAGTTTTTATTTTTATTTTATATTTATTAAAATAAAAAATTATTAAAAATTTAATATTAAATCTGTCTTGTTCAGAGTACATCTAGATAAGCAGTTTATAAAAATTATAATATTAAATTGAATCATATAGAGTCTCAAATTAAATTAATACTATCCAAATTGATGATGAAAATATTTATCAAAAAATTTTTTATTTTAATTTTATAAAATTAAAATTAAAAACTAAAAATATTTTTATAAAATTAAAATTGAAATTAAAAAAATCTGGACCATCCAAATGAAAGTCTAAATGGCCCAGATGTTTTTTTATGATGAGTACCGCTGAGCACTGAAACCAGACGCGATAATATTCTTACTCTTGCATGCATGTGAAAAGATCATAGCATTGCTGAGCACCGAAACTAGACGCGATAATATTCTTGCTCTTGCATGCATGTGAAAAGATCACTCATGCTATGTTATATTTGGTCAGGAACCTTCTTTATATTCTCTGCCATTTGTGGCCTCACTGTCGTGTTCGTGGCAAAACTTGTAACAGAGACCAAGGGGCGTACACTGGAAGAAATTCAATCATCCATGACTTCGCGTATAGTTAACACAGACACAAGCTCAGCTTGACAGACGGCCAGATGAAACAAATTTTATGATTACCGCCAAGACTGAACGACCCTGGAATTTTTATACACATTTGAATACAAACTTAAACTTGGAAGGTTGTTTAGAGCCTATACAACATGGTTAATTCATACTATACGATACCCGCTCACGCAACACCAACCGATCCATGTATAATGAGTTGATGGGCAAAAAGCACCACGTAAAGCCCTATGATGTTTAACTAATTGGATCACCAGGACATTTTTTGTTTCAAATAATAGTGAAAAGCTTGGAAGCATTAAGCTCTTTACACATGCCTGTTAAGAAATGGATTCCTACAGTCCATGGGGCACATTTGAAAATCAGTCACTAGAACATGAGAGAGAGACTAAATCGGAAAAAAATGGCTCATTTGTTTATTCAGTCTTAAGCCAAAAATCTCAAAAATAAAGAAATATCTCACAGAAAAACAAAAACAGGAAAAAGAAATGCAAGGCTATTACCTAACGAAAGACGTTTAAAAAAAAAAAAATCTAAAGCTATTACTCAAAAGCTCGGTTAATTGGTACCACAAATGCAGTAACCCATATACTTTTTTTCCTTTCCTCCCAATTATTAGTATCATATATAGAATGCAAGATGTCTCACACAGAAGATTTAATGACATGTGCGATGATATAGAATTTGGTCCAAAAATCTAGAATGGGAATGGAGGAAGTAAACATACAAGGAAACGCAATTCTGTTTGAAGGAAATAGGAAGGGGTAAGTATTTCTTCTTGGGTGCAAGTCAAGCGCACCTTTTTGGCAAGACACATACATATAATCTAACGGATTCCTGTGTGTGCACTTTAATTTGAAATTGCAGATATTTATCTTTCTCCGAAACCTACAAGAAATTAAATAGCATGTCATGATTATGTTACTTAAGCCTGCTGAATTAGGCAGCCTTTCCTTCCATTCCATTCCAGGAGCCCCAGACGGCAATGTTTCCATGACTATCAATCAACCACGTGATCAAGTAACCTGTACAAATATATATATATATATATATATGTCTGTATATATACACCTATATAATTAAATCATAGTCTAACACTAATTAATATATCCTCCAAAAATGTCTCAATCATCTCTGATCCAAGACCCAGGCTCAAACCATCCCCTCCATAAGACTCTGGCTAGTGCAGCCAATTTGGCGAATCTTCTACCCACCAGCACCGTCCTCGCTTTCAACGCTCTCATTCCTTCCTTCTCCAACAATGGCGTCTGCCATCTCTCGAACCAGTTCCTGACTCTGTCCGCCATTCTGGTCTGCGCCGTGCTCTGCTTCTCCTCCTCCTTCACCGATAGCTTCGTGGCGAGAGATGGCAAGCTCTACTACGGCATTGCGACGTTCAAGGGTTTGTACATCTTCAACCATAGCCAGTTTGAGGAAGTGGCGGAATCGGACAAGTACAAGATCTCCACGATAGACTTTGTGCACGCGTTCTTGTCGTTGGTGGTGTTTCTGATATTCGCTGTCACCAACACCAATGTTCAGAGCTGTTTGATGCCGCACGTGGGGCCTAATGAAAGTGCCTTGATCACCAACCTTCCCTTAGGAGCTGGGGTCTTATCCACCTTCCTCTTCACTATCTTTCCGACCACCAGAAGAGGTATGGGGTACTCCGACGTGTACGTCGCTGACTAGCTCGCCACCTTCTTCTCATGTTGGTCACTGTGTCTGCATGGATGTGTGTGTGTGTGTGTGTGTGTGTGTGTGTGTGCATTAGTTCATCGAAAGCTGCACGCAGTTATAAATAATATGGCAGCCTTGAACTCAATGTAAAACATTTGGGTCCTATTAATTACCTGGACAACTAAAATATCTATTGCTGGTTTATTTGTTATGAAGTGCATGCATCTGTGGTTCTATTAAAATTTCATATCATAATGTTGGAGTTTCAAGGAGAGAAAAAACGCGAGTAAGAAAACAAAATAATATGTATGCACAAAGGTTTAGTTTTCCTATTTTTCATGAAGTTAACAATGAAAAGATTTATCCAGTAATTTGATCATGATTGTTTTTATGTTTTTTTAATCATTCAATAATAATAAGTAGTATATTTTGGCAATTTTTGTATTTGCATATAAGACGCAAATCATGGACATGAATTCCGTGGAATAGTTGTAGATGGAGTTGTATTTGAGAATATTATAAGGAGGCCCATCCAGCTTGATGGGTTTAGGTCCAAAGATTGAGCAGCGGCACGCCACGTTTGAGGGTACGAGAAATATGGATGAGAGTGAGTGTGTTATGCGGACTGCAGTATACTAAAAAACCAGGTAAGAAAATATGTCTAGAAAAGGATTCAAATTCACGTAGTCTCACTCACCTCTTGTTCTCCTTTTTAAATAATTATTGGATTGGAAGAACAATTGATAATTCCAAAGCAGCCATCCCATTCCGATGGCCAAATCCAATATAAGCATTGCATCAGCCAACGGTATTCCCGCGTATCGCTCCTCCACGCGTTTTGTAATTCCTATTTCTACCACTTCCAATGCCCACCTGAATCTGAATCCCAATCCTCCGTACATCCATGCAAATAAGTGCATATTCCTCCAATAAGTAATGCATTTTGAGATATATTGAGCGAATGAGCGAGTACTCCATGTAATGCGATGCAATGTGACTCCTTCACCTTCAAGGATATACATAATTACATATTTTTGCATCATTGTATTCTCTTTCCAGACGCCCTATTTTATTTGTTTATGAAAAAAAATTGAGAAAAATTACATTATCATTCATGATGAGCATATATATTTTATATGTGTCGATACTAGCTAGAGAGATTGCAATTCAATTTTACAGAGTTATAAATATGGAATGCATTCTTCTTAATTTTAGGATTTATCATTTGCAAAACACATGTTTCATTAATAAAGTTAAGGTGATATATAGTTTCAAACTCGGGTAGTGTTTTGCGGTGGAAATTTTAATTAGTTAGGCGTTGTGAGAATCGCAGTGTTGGGAAGAATTATCTTGAGTTAATCTTATCTCTTACCAGCATGTGTCCTGTGCGATGCACCGGGTGTGAAATAATAAGTAATGGTTTAAATAAATAATCAAATATAAGTTAAATTATAAAATTATATTATTGTAAAAAAATCACTTTTAAATTAAAGTAATTGATGTTTTTTAATTTGTAATGATGGGTTAAATATAATAATTATTTAAAAACCTCCATATAACAGCCATTGAATGAATTTAAAAAATAAATCAATTTGTATAAAAAATATTTAAATTATAAATAATATATGCACATTGAACAATAAATTAGAATTAAGAATTAAAATTAATTTCATAAATTAAATTCAGGGTGAAGATTATGTTTCACAATTTTCTCTGCTAAAGCACAATTTGAATTTAAACTATTCTTTATAACAGATAAGATTATTTATGATTTTATTCCTATCATATATAATCTATCTTATGCCATGATCTCTTCGTTTTTAAAAATAAAAATAGGATTAATATACAATTTGAAATTTGAATTATAAGTCCAAAGGTTATTTGAATTCTAAACTCATATTTGATACATTTTGAACCATGAATAATTAAATTTGAGACAACTTCAACCCACTTTAAATTAAACCAAACATCCATTAATTCTTAAAAAATTGGGCTTGATGTGTAATTTTTTTTAAAGGAGAGTAAGAGAGAGGGAGAATAGAATTTGAGAAAAATTATACATTAGGTCCCATTTTTTTTAAAAAATTAACAGACATTTGGTTTAATTTAACAGTGAGAATAAAATTATCCCAAGTTTAATCTAAATTGGATTTTAACCCTTAAAAATAATAATAGTATGATGGGAAGTTACAATAATAGGAGGGTACGTGGGTGAGATAATGGGAGAGGAAAAAGGAAACAGTATGAATTATGATAAATTAATAAATCATTTTAAAAATATAATGAGTGAGAAAAATAAAATATTGAAAGAAATGGAGTCTAACAGTTGCAAAAATAATATAAGAAATTGTGATTTTAATACTCTAACATTTGAGAAAATATAATAAAAAATTTGATATGACACATTGAAATTGCAAAGTTTATAAATGATAAATTATATAAGGGAGAATGTCAACAAGGTCCCAAAAGAATCAATTAATTCAAGTTAAGACTTAAGTGTCAAATTTTAAAAATTTGTAACTCAATTTCTCAATTTTACAACTCCGTTATGATAAATTTATAACTTATATTTTAAATTTTAATAGAAAAAATATTTTTATTTTATTTTTCAACCATATTAAAATTTTAAAAATAAATTATAAATTTATCACAATGTAATTGCAAAATTAATAGATGAACTTGTAAATTTTTAAAGTTTAGCACTTGAGACTTGACATGAATTAATTGATACTTTTGAGATCTCTTTGTCATTCTTCCATTATATAAATATTCTATATAATTATATAGAATTTTTTAAAACAAAGGTAATATTTGAGTATGAGAGTTAAATAGTGGAGAAAGATTCATTACCTCCCTAATAACATCAATAAAAATTCTTGCAATAAATCTTTGCCTAACTTTGCTTTTTTGAAACAAACCCAACTTTAACACCTTCAACAAACAACTGTGTAGGCAAAATTATGTTCATATGGCATCACATTGGAAATTATAAATATAATTTCATAAATGTTACCTAACTCTAAAAACACAAAACATTTTAGACTAAAGTTCAATTAAAAAACTACAAGAATAGCCCATAGTTGGAGCATTGGAATGTCAAAACCATGCAGAATGTACTCTTTAGTAGCATTTAATTATATGAAATAAAATTTTGAAAATCACAACGTCTCTTGAAAGGAATAATGCAAAATAATATCAAATGATTTACAAGATAATTAGTATGAATTGGATGAACTATAGAAGGAGAAAATTGAGAAGTATATATATGAAGATTGCATGAAATATAAAATCATTGAAAAAAGAGGTGAACTCTTTCAAGGTGCTATAATTCCTTGAGCTTGAATTAAAAACATAATGCCATTAATTGTGCCCAAAACACTTCCATTATAAATTTATAATGGAGAATAGCAATTTTGTGCACCAACTATTGTAACCTACCTCCCCTTTACATTTGATTTTTTTTTTTTTAGGTTCTACATATGTAAACATAACAGTATAAAAGCTTGGAATCATATAGGTCATATCAATCAATGTATAGTCAAAAAATATATAACACATTTATTTTGTAGAAAATCTATAAGGTAACACATGATCTCAAAGAGGCCAAGTAGAGAACAAAAGTAATGCTCTAGACTCACAACACAGCTTTGTTACATTAAATGTGAAAAAGATATGGAAAAGCATATGAAGAGATATGAACTGAACTGTTTGTCAAGAAAAATAAAGAACAGGAATTAATGATCTAAGAAGGGAGGAAGGGGACGAGGCAACCATGACTTCAAATACTAAACCTTGATGGTGTTGGATGCTTTTTGCTTACGTTTTATTGAATGCTCAAAAGAAGGATGAGAAATCCAAAAGCATGGGGAGTAAAGAAATATATGCAAACAATACAAGTTGTTGTAAATGTTAGTAGAGAAGTTATAATTTGTGGAGATTTTTAAGATTTTTAAAATTTAAAATAAAAGGATAGTAAGTTAGAATAATGAAAGAGATAATGAAAAAGAATATTAAATATAAATAAAGGAGTTAATATAACAGGAGAGAAAGATAAGGGATAAGGAAAAGTAGTTTCTGCAAGTTTTAGAAATATTTTAATAAAATATTTATTATAAAAAAGCAATATTAATGTAGAAGTTATTGTAGTGGAAGAGATGGTGAGAGAAAAGATTATCGATATATTATTAAAAAAAATAAAAGGATTATAGATAAATGGAAATAGAGAGAGAGAGAGAGAGAAATAAGTGACAACGGGATGTGGTTTGATTAGTTTTAGATATATTGTAATGTAATGTAATTATTATTTTAATAAAAAAATTTGAAAAAAAAATGAAGCCCAAAATTGTAATGTTTAATGAAAAGTTAGGAGTGGGGTCGTTTTATAATTCTAGCACATGGCCCGTGCAATGCACGGGATGTAAAAAAAAAACAAAATATTATTTAAATAAATAATGATATTTAATAAAAATTTAAAATGTTGTTAAGCAGAAATAACTTTTAGATTGAACTTACTAATGTTTAAAATAATTTTTAAAATAAATATATAACTTACAAATTTTGATACATTTAACAACATTTAGAGCATTTGGAAAAAGGGACCTCAAAAATAAACTAACATAGCTCACATATTTGAACACACACACAAGGTAAAGGGAACTCCTAATACTTGGAACACTTGGATTCAATGAAAATGAAATCTTTGAAAAGTGAAGTAAAGAAAACACATAACCCACAAATAAATAAGAATAAAAAATTTACAAACTACAATTACAAGTTACAATGGTTGTAATACTAAAAGGAAATGATGAAATCATTTGCTTGCATTGAATATGTAAAATCATACATAAACTCTATAACCCACCGGCAATGGTACAGAAATAAAAGAGTATAACAAAAGGTACCCAATAGATCAAACGCGACCTTGCAATGCACAAGTAAACATAATTCAATATAGTACACTTTAAAAGAGAAAACAATAGTCATCTTTAAAAAATATAAAAAAGTAGTTATTCATATCTCATTATAAACCTGCGTAATGATAAGATAAATGTAAAGAGATATAAGTGATTAAGACGAAAATGGAAGTGGAAAAAAAAGTTAAAAATTATAATGCTAGTTCTACTTAAACAAATCTATGGGTGGTCCAAAAGGCATATAAAAAAAATATGCCTGTCAAGTAAATTAAAGGATATTTCCTTCAAAAGTAAATCGATCTATAGAATAATACATGAGAAAAGAAAGCATGATGATTTGTTGTGTGTAATAAACAGGGAATTTTTAACTTATATAAAAATAAAGTAAGAAAAATAGCAATTTCATTTCATTTTGTAATACATATAAATTAAAGTATTGTAACAACAATAGTATGAATAAAACATACAAAATTATATCTTGCGAAGAGAAAACAATACAATAGTCTGCTTTGCCTGTCATCAAACTTTAAGAAATAAATAAACAATGTGTGTAGCATTGTCTGAGACCAGACCCTTTTGCTTCTGACTTCTTCTTTTCCTAGTAGATGAATTTGCAACGTCGCCGTCCTATTAAAAAAGAGTCTCTGTCTTTATGAAGCAACTGTCGCCATTAATCGACCACAAACATAGTAACATATATAGTGACTAAGCTTTTTGTCGAGCAAAATATAAGGTGTACAAGTTGTGACCTAGACATATACCATCTACACAAAAGAAAGCTTCACGAGCTTGCATTCTTTTAGAGAAGCACAAAAAAAAAAAAAAACAGAGAGAAGAAACTAACTTCCTAAAATTTAGGAGGTTCGAACATATGCGGAAATTCCTAAACACAATCAAGACCTATATAAAAATATATAATGCATAAGAACAAAGGAGTCTTGAATCATAAATTAGCTAGGTGCATTTTAGCATGTTACTTTTGCAAGTGCCTACAATCGAAAGTTACCACTTGGCATGTTACCTCTTCTTCAGCGATTCATTCTTCGCTTTTCCTTTTTCAAATTCTCAATGAACTTGGGCTTCCTTCCCAATACACGTAGACATGAAAAAAAAAGAAAGATAAAATGCTTGCAATTGGCCATCTCATGGGTTTATGCATAGAAGAGGCAGTTTCGGAGAAATAAATGACACTTATTTGGGAAGAAGCAGTTATGAAGTCACAAATTACACCCGCAACCCACGTTTACCGGAAAATACATAGATAAAATAACTAAAATGAAAAGATCTAAAAAAAAAATCTCATGTGGCAATTGATGTGTAAGATTATTGATACTGACATAGTGGAAAAATTTTCGAGGATTAGAAGTTAGGAAGCTTAATTTTGTCATGATTTTTAAAATTGAAATTTAAATTTGAAAATAAGAAGTTGGAAAGTTACAATGGTGGTGGAGAGATTTTTAAGGATGTGTGAGTTAGGATGCTTGTAATTTTTAAAATTTATTAAAAGATTTCTTTGATAGTGGAGAGTTTTTTAGTCTTTCCAATCACGCTAAAATAACTATCTCATATAGCTTGAATGGGCGAAAAATAAAGACCTCATTAAAATTAGTGGCTTTTGATCTTGAGAATATAATATTAGAAATAAAAAGTTGGAAAGTAAGGATAATGAAAAGAATTTATAGGGAAGGGAATTTAATTAGAATTTTTTATTATAAACAATTTTGCAATATTATTAAAATAAGAATTTGAAATTATGAGTAACTTCACAAGATTTTGGAAATCAAAATTTAATATTATAAAAAGAGGATCAAAAGCTGGGATAACAGAGAGATGTTTGTAGGTAGGTTAATTAGACATAATTTACATATTGGAGTATTTTTTAAATTTTAAATTAAAAATTTAAAATTATAAATAAGTTAATCAAAAGTTGGGATAATCACAAAATATTTTTGGAGGAAGGATAATTTTATATTTATTTATATTTAAAAGTGACACATGTCATTACTAGATTGTCACTTGCGGTTCTACGTACACACACTTTTATCAAAAAATAAAAAAAAGATTATAGATAAATGGAAATAAAGGAGAGAGAGAAATAAGAGATAAAAGGAAGTAATTTGATTAATTTTAGGTATATTTTAATTATTATTTTAAAATTTTGAAAACAAATGAAAGCTTAATTTGTGGTGTTTAACGGAAAGTTGCGAGTGGGGTGGTTTCATAATTTTCAATTTAAAAATTTAAAATTAGGAATAAATTAAATTAAAAAAATCTCGGTATGAATATCATATCTAGCATCATCATGCTGCTTGCACTTTTACTTTTTAAAATTTAAGATTATAAATGAGTTAAATTAAAAAATCAAAGCATATAAAGGACACGTCATCACCAAGTTGCTTACAGTTTTACTTTTATATATACATAGACATATATATATATATATAGAGAGAGAGAGAGAGAGAGAGAGAGAGAGAGAGTGAATGGTTCCGGAATCTGAATCATGAAGAGATATTTGTTAATCCAGTCAATGTATATCTATCTAATTATCTATTGAACAAACGCGTTTTCTCTGTGTGCGGACAGTAATAATTCAAGTCTAAAACACTCCATTTCAGCTTAACCAGTTGTTCTTATTAGCCGTGGTCAATATAACTGTAATTGACAACAAAATTATATTAAATAGTCATAAAAATTGGATTAAATCTTAACCGAGTTACCCCAGGGGAGAAATTAAGAAAAAACAAAAATGCTAAATGGGATATAAGATACACATGCGCTTGGATTAAATGGAGAGAGATATTATCTCATGAAAATATCAATATCAATATTAATGCGTGATTATAAAATTAGTAATATTCACTAGTCATTCGTCAGCAATACGATTTGAGTGTCCAACTCTGCAAATCCACAACACTCATATTCCTGATATATATAACACAACACTCGTATTCTAATATAAATACAAGTTTAAATAAATTAAACAGTTGTTGCATGATACTGGATGTGTAGAGAAAAATGAATGGAGGAAGGAATGCGAGTACGTAGCACCGATTGGAGGGAGACTCCAAAGTTTTGAAGAGTGAAAATGATTTATTTATTTGTTTTAAAGTGTAATTATATCAGAGAGAATAAAGGAACAGGCCTCACTCGATCATTTGAGATTAGCTAGTGTAGCAAAGGCGTGATTCACTACCTAATCTCTTCCAACGTTTCTTTATCAAGTGCTTAAAAAGCGGTTTCTTTTTAATAAGTCATAATCCTAATATTTTACCAACAGTTAAGTTCAAGTGGTTTAACACGTGGTTATATTAAGTAGAAGCTTAAAACAAATCCAGCAGGTATAGAAAAAATTGTTATAAATTAAAGGACTTCACACTTGTATGGTTGGGTAGATTTAAATTAAAATTTGTTTTGATTTGAATCAGTCGAACTTTAATATAAATTTGAAATAAAATATTTTTAAAAAAGGAAAAAAAAAACAGTACCCTTATCTCCCTCTTTGGATATATCCTGATCCTCTCTTCCATCCTATTAATACACACCCCTCCCCTGCTCCTTCGAGTTCGTGAGTTCAATTTCAACCATTTCATCAACAAAAATGACTATTTTCTCTCAATACCTTCCTTTCATTCTCTTTCTCTCGCTCTCCTTCCCCTTCTTCTTCTCTTTCATTCTTCCCTCTCTCCACCACCACCAGCTCCTTCTTCGTTCTTTCATTGGTTTCTCTGGCGGCCTCGGCCTCGGCCTCGCCGCCGCCATCACCCTTGTCATGGTCAAGAAGCCACCCCATCCAGTTCAAACAGACGCCCCGCTCCACAACGTCGGCGGCCTCGTGGCTGACGAATTGGAGTCTTGCACCAAGAGTCTAGGCTTTGAGAGCTACCACGAGGGCCGCTTGATGGACCGGCTTGAGATTGATCGTCCCGCTGAAGATTCCCGTTTGGCGGGGACGGCGGCGGATATAGGCGCCAAGATTTGTACAAGGACCAGTCATCGCGTGAGAAAAGAGGTGAGGTCGTTTCCGCCCCCTCTTTCTTCGCTGAACCTGAATGGTCGGCCAAGTTTTTTTCTCCGACCGGTGAGGAAGGACGGCAGGTTAAAGCTCACCGAAGTCAGAATACATTGGCCAGAGATTCTCCACGCCTGGCGACACAACGGCCGTCTCACATTACATCTCATACCGGACGACAGTGCTCTAGATGATTTAGAAGACGACGGCGAAGAAGAGGAACCAGAGGAGGACGAAGAACTAGAAGAAGGAAAACGGAAACATGTAATAAAAAAATCAACCGATGACGAGCAGGCGGAAGAAATAGTAAAAGCGATAACGGATGAGGAGGAAGAGTTTAGATTTAGGGATTGGAAATTTGGTAAGGAAGGGTTGAGAAGGTATCACCAAGTGTTGAATGATCATGGGAGTCATGATCAACGCCTCCATAATCACCCTCTGCAACTGCAAATGCGGGGAGTAAGCATTGCGTGAGGTGGAGGAATATGAATTATGGATTCCAGAATTCAAATTAAGGACGACAGTACAGACGAGACACAGAGGCCTTTCGTGTAGAGACTTGACTGCCATTTTTGCCAACGCAGCAGAGGCCATTCCGCGTCTCGATAGCCGAGGGTTGGCCAGGGATTCGACCATGAACACAACACAACGACGCCGTTTTGGTGTCGGTTGATATCAGTCGCGGCAACCCTTGGGTACTGCCTCTCGGAGATCTGAACAGGATCCGCATTCCTTCGCCCTCCCTCGGAAAGGGCGGAAGGAGACCATTAATGACGTGAAGGATTAAGGTTCTGAGATTTTTGCCGTACTTTATCCGCCTCAATATTCTTGATTGAAACAAGAGCATGAACATTTACGTGGTCCATTCTGGATATTAAATAATGTTAAAAATAAAAATATTCCATTTTCATTATTTTTTTCTGCAAATATAAATTCAAATTAATTAAAAACGGTGACAAGAACACTGAAGGCCAACGGAGGTGGTCAATCTGCTGCGATTTGATTTGATGGAGGTCATGCATCATTGATATTTTCTTAAAAACAATCAACGACGTTTGGACTTGTGGACTTCCCCAAACATGCATAAAAAGTTAATTACATTAAGGGCTTTTGCAAGAATAGGGTAATTTAATGAATTCAATTTAGCAAGAAGGATGTTGGCCAAAAAAAAAGAAAAAAAGAAACTTAGAAAGAAGGATAAGTGTGATTATGATTATAATTTAAATGAATACAAATACAAATTAAAAGAGACAATTAATTAAAATCTTCAACACTACTTTTTCATTATAATCGAATCCATTAAAATTTTACTTCCTCTCCAATTAAATTAAAATTAGATTAAAACCAAGCATCTATTGCTTAAAGCATCAATTTTTCTTTTCAATGAAGAGAGTTTAAATACTTAACCTCCAAATACTCTTATTCCATCACAATCTTGAATTCTTAAAACTTCTTCTCTAATATAACTACTTTAAAAAGCATAGAGTAGGAGACAATTTTAGTAAAATATATACAGCAAGAGATAATATAAATAATCAAATGGATTATTTTTATTCACAAGAACATCCAGTCATTTTCTCAACGGAGCATTGGTCTAGTGGGACCATAGCCATCCTTATGAACCTCTTTTTTGTAGCAAGAGGTTCTAGGATCAAGCTCTCATTGTAGTTAAAGGGGGGCAAATATTTCACCCAAAAACTTTGTGAATACCAAAACCAAAATAAAAAGTATGCCCTTTTAACGTTGTTTGGGAGCATTGGCAGGCAAATGAGAACTAAATTTCCTTTTTTTTTTTTAATGAATGCGTACACAAATATAATTTAACTATAACTTTTTTTTTTTATAAATATTATATCCAAGAGAAGCATGCCTGGTACTTAATATGAGCGAGAGCAATTTCCAAATATCTAAGAGTGAAGTTTGCACATGTTTCGAAAAAGGAAGGATAGATAGCAGAATCCTGCAAGTAGCTATAGTTTATAGAGAAAAAATTGCATATTTATAAGTGATTGCAGCTCATTTAGAATATATTAAAATATTGTAGTTTTTTAATCAAAAACCTTTTTTTAGCAGGGTGGCAGTTGATCAAAGATATGCGGTTATTGTTTTTTGCTTTGCTGCTACTACAGTTTGATATCCATTTTTATTTAAAAAAAAGAATTTATTAGAATACCGGGGAAAAAATAAAAACAAAAGATAGATCGTCGACAGCAGGGTTCGAACCTGCGCGGGCGAAGCCCAACAGATTTCAAGTCTGTCTCCTTAACCACTCGGACATATCGACGACAATGCAAAGTGTTGTCATTTTGAAAATTTATTCAAGAATAGTGTTGAACATCTTAAGTTTTTGGTTAATTTTCCAGCCTCTAGTGGCTAGTTTAGAAGTCAACCGGATATTCTCTGGTGGAGAAACAGTAGCGAAGTTTCCCGGTTTCTTTGTCTGTTTCTGAAACCAAATTTGCTGGGGAAAGTGATTTGTCATTAGATGTTTTGATTGGACCAACTTTTGTCGACATATTTAGCTTATGTTTATTGGAAAAACATAGCTCAACATAAACATTGCAAGACTGCAGACTCAACTAAAGTAATCAAAAGAGTTAAGTTTATTATAACGAGAAATCTTGCAATGTAATTCGAAGAGAAACTCTTCCCAGTACCAATTCTGCAATTCAGTTTATAGAAACCCACCGAACGGCTGCTGTTATTAATATTCATTAACAACACAATGAACAACGCGATCAGTAAAATCTATTAAGCTTGCAGGAACATAATACATGTCCCGGGCGGCAGGCTATTCCTATGAGTTAAGATAGAAGGATGCAAAAGCCTATCACACCCAATTAATAAATAAATCAACTATGAAATCTCTGTGGGACCTCTTCATGTGACTGACTGCTTGCAGCCTTTACAGGCACGCTTAACGCTTTGCAAGTCGAAATGGAAATCAATAATCAATATAATCATCGATTCGATAACATGAAGCTGGAGCGTGAATATTTCTTCAACTCTGGAGAATGTTAGTCCGGCTGAGTATACTCGAGCAGCATGTGTGGCGAGCGGTAGATTTTGACGAGGGTCCAATATAGATTCTCCTCCACTTCAAGCTCACCTGCTGCTCCGGCAGCATAAATATCTTCACATATTGCTAACAATTCGCATCAATAAACACACATAATTTAGAACCCCACCACCACACCCCCCCCCCACCAAAAAAAAAAAAAAAGCTTCTATGAAATCAAATACCTGCCACCGATGCACACACTTCATTTAAGTTCCGAGCTCTGGGATTAAAACACAAGGAAAGCCCAAACAAGCATGTGACGTAGTTGCAGTGTTGCTTAAGCACCTGTCACAGTGAAAAAGGTTCTCAAAAGGAATTCTCATTCGCAGGTCGGCACACTGCAATCTCATGAAACGTCAAGCGGAGGGACAACATGTGTTCCACCTCAGCAGTTTTATGTAGTGAGCAGAAATCTTGGACGTCAACAATAAAATTCCAGTAAAGCTTACGAGAAGTTTCTTCAGCTACGATTATAGCCATCGGTCCAGCGAACTTTCCACATCCCTGTGCATCTGAAGCATTAATATCATAAAAAGACCACCACTCTGAATTCCCGCGATTGAGAACAAGATTTCCACTAAAGAGATCCACCAGCAAAGGCATATATGCCCATCTGAACACAGCTGATCAATAAATAAAATAGGATTGGGTAACAGACTAACAGTCCTCATGTCGCCTCTGTTTGAAGAGCTTTCTAATTCCACCACTGTCACTAAGACCTATTGAATATACGAGATTTTTTTTTAAGGGGTAAAGAAATGAAGAATTCAAGCCAATAACTAACGTGATGGTGCAGGCAAGGGGTGGTGATCTGGAGGATTCGGAAAGGGGTGTTTAGAGATCTATTTGTAGGAGGTTTTTGGCTGAAGGGGAGTGGGGAGTTAGAACATTTCGGGGAAGAAGTCTCTTGGAGAGTTAGGCTCTCGAATGACAGCAGCCTTTTAATCATGTATTTTTTCCCTATTTTCATGTGTTCCCTGGAGTTAGTGAATGTTCTAATTTTTTCACAGGTGCTTGTTACAGCTTTGTCTAAACATATCCAAATCATCTCAAATTATTACTATTTTTCCCACAATAGGTGAAACTCTCATCTTTTCCCATATATGTTCATTTTGTATTTTTTTTTGTTTTTTTTTTTGGTATGCTCATACATTTATCTCAACATTTTCATCCTTACTACTCTAATTTTATATTTCTGTTATTCATTTAAAACCCAACATTCACTGTCATATAATATGACCAATTTTATAGCAATTTGATAGAAGGGTTAAGATGTATTTTTAGTCTTAATATTTTTTGAGGAACACCCAAAACCTTAACTTTTTGTTGGAACAATTTTCCCATTAAAGTTATTAAAATAGAGCAATTTTGCCTTTTTTATCAAATTTTCTAACAGTTAACATTGGAATTTTGATAAAAAAAAGGCAAAAATGCTTTGTTTTAATAACTTCAAAGGCAAAATTGCTCCAATAAAAATGTTAGGGTGTTAGGTGCTCTTTAAAAAATATTTTAAGGGTAAAAATGTATCTTAACCCTTGATAGAAATTTTCTTTAAATTTATTAGATACATTTCTATTACAAATAACTCATTTAGTCTTTATCTAATTATACCACCTAACTTGTATTATATATGTAACTTCTCCATCAATTTCTCCATCATGTTGAATGATTGCTCTCAAATATATAAAATTTTTGCATTTTAAGTTTATTAGGACTTGGCAAAAAAATTTCAAAAGAAAAAAAGACAATGACTTCATAAACTATGGTAATAATATATACTCCTTTTGATCTAAAATATAAGTATTTTTGCTCAGCTAATCTCAGTTTAAAATATAAGCAACCTAATACATCTAAATTTTTTTTCATTTTATCCCTTGTATTTATCAACATAGATCTTTATGCAAAGTTATTTCTCATTTATCATGAAGTACATTGATAATTATGATTAAAGATAAAAAAAACAATATATATTTTTATAAATATAAAAATTTTATTAATATGTGAACTTTTTTAAAAACCTATTTGCATTTTGAACCATAAAGAGTATATACACATATATGTGGTAGAGGTCTAATCATTTGAGTTAGAAAAGGCGGATGGAAAACAGAAGAAATATAATTTGAGATTTTACGATAAATGAATGTCGGACCACGGGGGCGTAGCCCATATGGTAGAGCGCTCGCTTCGCATGCGAGAGGCACGGGGTTCGATTCCCCGCGTCTCCATCTTTTGTCTTGGTAAGTTTTTAATGGACCGACATCAAGGATATTTTTGGGCTAGTATATTTTACGGCCTGCCGCATTTTGGGCTGATCACTAGCTTAACTCTTAAGATGTGAACTATGAGGTGTCATGACATGATAATCATATTAGTTATGAACGGTTTAATTAACTATTAATTTATGAATGTAAATTAATTTAATTTATTCGTATTAGTTAATATATATTCAAACTAATTACTATTTTATTTTAATAATAAAATTCATTAATTTTTTATTTAAATCCAATAAAATTTACAAATATGTAAAAAATATATACAATATTAAAATATATAATGTAAGTTACTTATATAATATAATATAGTTGTATTTAGAAAATAAATAAAAAATATTAATAAAGATTTGATACAATTTCTTAAATATGTAAAAAATATATACAATATTAAAATGTATAATGTAAGTTACTTATATAATATAATATAGTTATATTTAGAAAATAAATAAAAAAGATTAAGAAAGATTTGATACAATTTCTTAATTATGGTATTTTTATTATTTTTGGCTAGCTGTTTTTGGGTTATTAACAACCCTGAGATATGAGTTATAACGCATCATGATAATCTAAAGCTAAATCAAGGGTCTTGATAATATGTATGATAATAAAAATATGCATTGCCAAACAAGGAGGGAGTGGGGCAAAGGAATGGGTTGATCACTTGATTGACATTGTCAGTTGCTAAAATGGAATCCCAAGATAGGTAGATGAGAATCCACAATCAATGTTTTGAAACTCAGATCGAACATCAAATCGGAAAGAGTAACGGGTTGCAATTTTCACGATCTAACCGATTAGACCGACGATCGAACCAATGATATAAAAATTAAATAAAAAATAATATTTATATGAGCAACTATATAAATAAAATATTAATTTGTCAATAATACTTGAGATTTCGACTTCAAAAGCTAGATGCTTGGACCGTGAGAGCTAGAGGTAAAAGCATGTCAGTATAAGCTTGTAATTTTGAAGGAAAATGCTAAAACTAAAGGCATGCCATCACGTCATAACTCACAAGCTTCCGGACTCAATATCAAATGTTGGATCTCTAGAGTTGGAAGCAAAGGTTGGAGGAGAAGTTAGAGACTGAACTTGGACCATGAAAGAGATATTAAAGATTAGAGAAGAGAAAAGAGAATTGGTGATTAAAAAAAAGAAATTATGAATCTAAGCAACTTAACTTAAATTTTTTTTTCTTTTTTTTATTTTTTTAGCTTTGACCCGAGTTAACCCAACTCCAGTTTTCAAGTCAAAGTCAGTTCTCTCAAAACTAGTCATTTTAATCCGGATCAACCCGAGTCAAATGCCAGATTGGTTCAATTGGTTGAACCGAATCATTTTATTCAGCGGGTGGCGATTATCGGACCGTCTGGTTCAGTCCGGTTTCAACAACAATGCCCACAACATGATCACGTAATCTACACAATCCATGAGTCATTTATCATATCCGCTCTGTGTTTGCAAATTACCACACAATTTCTGTCTCAAGTCCTGATCTCCCTGAAAGCATCAAATACAAAGAGCGCTAAGAGTTTCTTTTGATTACTGATGCCATTCGTCCGAAAGAAATTCCTGTTATTTGGCGAGGAAGAATTCTCTTACAAAGTCCCCGTCAAACTGCCTTCTGATAAATATTCCAATATTCGAACAGTTCATCAAACTTGTTGGCTCTATCAGACAGGTCGTTGGCCTGTCCAAGAGCGCCAATTGTTAGTAACAGAATCAAATTAGACAAGTTGGTTCTATCACCACTTGACTGTTTTTGGTGGTCGACAGAGACATTAAAATCCCAGACACATCAAGTCAGATATGCACTATCTAAAGCAGCGAAACCAGCTGCAACTCCACCTTCATCAGATGAAGATATTTTTGTACGCATCAAATAACCACTTTGTTCATTCACGATAACTTTATCCCCATTCCTGCAAATTCCAGTTCATTTAACGTCAAGCATTAATCAAATTTGAGAAAGTATGGACCTGTGATCCATATGTAGCCAAGCTATATACCTTAAGTAAGTGCCAAATATTCCAAGTTCTGATATGGCATGATCCTTATGACAACAGCCACTACGCATAAAAAATGTAGCAAAATTTGTTGGAAATATCCTCTGCATAAGGATGTAAGCTGCATCTTCTTGAGACCCTGCTATCTGCAATTTTAGGAGGGTTTCCCTCACTGCATCACCATAGATATTGTTTCCTGAAACATAATTACATCCCCTCAGGTAACTTTCCCAACCTCACTTTTTATTTCTTGCACTAAAGTCAAAGAGGCAACCGAACAGAACGATGAAGCAAATTTTAAGAGAAATAAGACCTCCTCCTTCTCGCTGAGGCTTCATTACAAATAACTCTGGCCTTTCTATTGCTCTTTTAGTAATATCCGATTCATCCAGACTCCACAATCCTGCAAAGCATTTACGCAGTTTGACAATGTCATCTTTGTTTTCCAGGTACCTGATTGCAGTTTTCACTCAATAAGTTAGGGAAGAGATATCAACTGGTTAGACAAACTCAGTTCAGCCAAAATATACAAATTTATCATTAAGCTACTCACTCGCAAAGAAAAAAATAGAAGGCGGAAAATCATTCTTTTGCTTCTGCACATGCAGTATATATGATTTAATTGACATTCACCGAAAACAAAATACACCCATCTTATACTTTTTGCTAGGAAGTGAGGTGCTGAAGATAACTCCATACAACAGCTTTCCATTTCCAAGCCATTGACTCAACATTCTCAGCTTCACACAGGAAGTCTCCCTCAATTATCCATTAAAAAATCTTTCTTTTGGTCACAATATCCATGAATTGATCATATTGCATTCAATTACAAATAGTCAAATCTTGCTTGGAGGATGGGAGTATAATTAATCAAATACCTCTCAAGAACATTGGGTTTTGCAAGTTCCTGTTGAATCTTCTTTGTGCCGACCAAATGGTAAGATATTGATGGACATTTGATGGCAGAAGATTTTTCCATTAGCAGCCTAGCTCTCCATTCCTACAAATTGAGCAAGATATAAAAACATAAAAACATAAAAACTCAACTCCGCTGAAGGAGCACCTATTCTAGAGGATCATGTAAAAGCAACAGGATGACATCAAGAAGAACAAAAGAACTGCCAGATCAGATGAATATAGGAAGAATCTCGAACCCACAGAAAAGTTACAGAATGGATTTAAGGCCTATTACACAAAACCATCACCATGGATATTCCATATCTGGCCAGTGGCCACACATCATTTGAAAGGTCACAGGTCGCTGCACTCCTCTGATCATGTGAACCTTGAAAGATGTCTCGCCATGAATGTTGTTTGCTCGAAACAAGGCAGTCAAGTATTAAATGGTTCAAGTAGTTGATGGGTCATTTAACTCAACGAATTGGATGTCAAGATTTTCCTCTGTCCTCCAGAAAATGACTAACATGTGCATGCTCTGTCTTCAAAATTTAGTACAATTGCACAAGATGTTCTTTTTGCTTGCATTGCTGCTGCTGTCTATACTTAATGGTTGGAAAGGAATGGTCACATTTGCCAAAATAAGAAATCTGAAGATGCTGCTGTCTGTGCACAGGTTAAACAGGACTTACAGCTTGTCTTCCTAAGAATATCAGGTCTTGTCTGCTTTTTAAAAACCCTAATAGTGTGTTTGGATATTTATATATTTGTATTTGAGCCAAATCCCCGGTTTGGGCACTTAAAAATTTATGGATTTTAATTTAGGCCAAATCCAAATTCATTTGAAATTATAATTTCTTTGTAATTTCAAATTCTCTCAACACCTCAATCATTTGAGATTCTAATCACTCAAACATCTCATTCTCTTCGACTTTTCGCTATTGATACTTTCATGATCCTTGCATCTTTTCTCATCTCTTGTCGATTAAGGAATAGAATTAAACTTATCTTTTCTAATTTTCCATTTTCGTTTTGAATCTCAACTCATCTCTCTTTTTCATGTGAAATTTTTTAAATTGCCCAAACAAAGGATTTGAAATACATGGATTTGAAATATGAAATTTGAAATGCAAGATTTCATATCTAAAATTCAAATCCAAATCAATCAATCTAAACGCTATCTAAAAGTTTCAGAATGATTTGTTTATGTCTAATATTATCCACTAGTTTTAACTAGTATTTAATTCATTTTTTGTAATTCAAAGGGAATGTTCTGTCATCACCGGTTTGGGTTTATGTACATTTTAAAGGAACCCTTCCTAGAAGGTGGCCTTTATTGTGTTTATTAGCCTAACCATTATGTGTATTGTTTTTTTTTTTTAGCAATATAATTTTACAGAGTTTACCCCAAAAAAATTATGATTGCATCTCCTAAGTCTGGCTAGTAAGTCTAATATATTTTGGCCACTGTAGTTATAGTGTCAGGTGGGCTAACATTGCCTAAAGTTAATGAACAGATGTTTTGAAGTTGGAATAGAACAGTTACTATGAGCAGCAGAAAACTGCAGAGTATAGTTGCTCACTGATTCTGAAGGATAGTCAAGTGGCGTATACCCAGCCCTGAAGTAAATGACTGCAATAGCTTGTCCATCCCTGTAACCAGAAAAAAAAATGCAATCATGTCTCAAATCCAGAGCAGGGAGGTCACTTTTTTCCAATGTCAAAGGCCACATACACATAAAGTTTTCCATCAGGTAGAAGTTCAGCCTCTTGATCAATTTGAGCCAATGTTTTCCGCACAGATGTAATACGATGTGTATTAAGAAGCTGAGGAAAACAACTCCCGGAAAAGTACAATAGGATTTTCAAAAACAATTGTTTGGATGAATTTTTGAAATATGTAATGAATGAGCATGATAGAATACCGATTATGGTGGGATAATTGATAATTTGAGAAGTTAGAAATATATTAGGAATAAATATTTTTTTATTTTATTTTAGACATTTTTTATTTAATAATATTGTTTAGATTTTATTTAGATATCTAAATATTTATCTAGATATCTAGTTATTTGGAGTTTATTCAAATATTTAGTTCTTTAGATTTTATTTAGTATTTATATGGATATAGATTCTAAGAGATTTTATTTAGTTTTATTTAATTATCTATTTATCTAGATTTTATTCATTATTTTAGATTGTATTTAGCATTATAAATATACTTAGCAACTCAAAAACAGGCATATCATGAATACAATAAACTTTTGAGACTGTTGGCCCTTTAGAGATCCCCTTAAGTGTTGTTATTAAGAGAAGTATAAAACGAGATTCTTATGTTATATCATTTTGATAGATTTATTCTATTTATTTTCTTCCATCAGTTCTATGTTCTCTTATTAATATTATGAAGTTATATGCTAATTTCATATGTTAATAGAGATTTATCTTCCTTATTTCTCTCTACCCATCTTGGATCCAATCAAAGAATTATTGAACAAACTTAATGCCAGAAGCTAAAGAAAACTACTAAGAAAAGGATATCTTTCTCTCAATGCTAGGGACAGCAAATGCTGGTCGTACATGTTCCGTTCTTCAGCCTGAACCACAAACATTATTACAGCCCTGCACAGATCCAATGAAAGCTTACATGAATAAATTTTTCCACAGCATAAAAAAGGCGACGGTAGAAGCCAACACGGAAAATATTTCTCCAAACTTACCCAGGGTCATTATATTCACACTTAGCTTTAGCCAGTGCTTCTGCAAACTGATTGCGAGCAGTATTGGCAGGAATTCTTTCAGAACTTAAACCAAGCAATTCTCCATAATGAGAAAGTATGTTTCTGATGAAAAAAAAAACCAACCAATATGATGCCTTCTCATGATAAATTCCCTTTACTTCAATAATAATACTTCAGAACTTATATGAACAAGCATTGGACATTATTAATTATTATAGGAAAAATATAATCTTTGGCCTTTATAGTTTCATCGGGTTTTGCTTTCAATTCTTGTAGTTTTTTTCTAGTGTTTTCAATCCCTATAGGAACTAAAACCATTGAAAATATGGAATCTATGGGAACTTGAAAAACAAAGATCACCCAATCTTTCTGAAATTATAGGAACTGAAAAAATTGAAAAAAAAATTATAGGGACTAAAAACAAAACTTGATGAAAATATAAAGACCAAAAATTGTGTTTTCCCATTATTATATGTGTATCATTTATGAAATCTTGAAATAAATTAATTTGAAATCACCCAACAAATTTCTAATGTATCTCTAATAAGGACTAAATTGTATTTACCATGAGAATATCATGTGTTTAACATATAAGGACCCATGGCTGCATCAAAACAGAAGGGGGGAAATTATTGAAAGATTCTATATCAGAAACCATACATGTACACTTACTTATGAAGCTCGGTCACAAGTCCACCAAGACCAGCAAAGGAAGATGAAATAGTGTTCAGTTCAATTTGCAGAAGTGATTTGGATTGTTCATCGAGCATATAATCTGAACGATGTAACCCCAAGCGGATTTCCTAAGAAATGATTGCAAAAAGATAGGGGGAAAATATTGGTTAATAACTCTGACTTACTGATAGAGGGTAATTTTGCACCTTCATGCCATCTTTTGCTACATTAATTATATACTTTTTCATAAATTAGATATTATGCAAAATACACAAATAATAAAATAATTCAATTTTTTCTCTTCTGAGCCAATACGTTTTCCTATGACACAATATTTAAAATGAATGCAATGGCATAACTAAAGGAAAAATAATAATCTTAAGCAAAAGTTAAAGTATAACTGGCTTAAATTTACAGACTAATAATAAAAGTGATCCTCCCAATAATTTTGGTCCTAATGCACTGTTAATCCACACTTAACTCTTTTTTATTTTTAATATGAAAATGCGCTCACCTCTTTTTTATTAAGCTCTAGCATCTTGGAATGAATGTCTAAAAGTCTGGAGGTAAATTCATCCACTTTCTTAGTTCTGCATAGCGGTAAACAGACAGATAATATCGAATGAAAAAGCACAAACAAAGAGGAAGTAGAGTAAAAAGGCCGTATTTTTTGGTAGCCAAACAAGAATGACGAATATATAATGATGGGGCATTAAAAATGGTAGAATTGAGCAAGGTAAATCACACGGACAACAGGTGAGGTGAATGTGAAGCTCACAAACATCTAATGCAAGTAATTCTTCAGAATTTGAAAGAAAGTTAAACAAAAAAATGCAAGAAACAGTAGAGATAGTACAATGCTAATTTGATCCCCGAGACTAGCTGTACATGCAAATTGTACAAGAATAACAACACAACACATAACATGTCTCTAAATAGGTAAGGAGTGGGGAAAAGCATACCCGGAGAGAGAGTTCTGTAGGAATTCTCCATCTTGACTCACTCTATCAACTAGTTCATTAAATAGCGGGGCTAACTCACATGCTTGTTTCCAATGATTTTGGGGGAAAGAAGCCGGCAACAAGGTAAACGGGGCATGGACCAAGCCCACGCCAGGAACGCTTCCTGATCTCTATACCTCTAAACACGATTCATCAAACTCAAGTACTAACTAACCAGATGAGACTCTATTAAAAAAGGCAGTCCAATAAAGCTCTGTTCTAAAGATCTAACGAATGTGAAAAACTCTTTATTTTTCAAATGACAGTCACCAAGCCTCGTCAGTGACCGATAAATAATTCCTTATCATAAAACCATTTCTTTCAGGAGCATAGAATTCCAATTGTCACAATAATATAATATACTCAGTCAAAGTTCCAAAACATCTTGGTATATCACGGAACACAGTAGCAGAAAAATGTGATGGCTTACGGGACTGACACTGACAATTACTAAAAAGAGAGAAGACGAACAAGATTGGGAACGGACCTCAACAGATTTGTCACCAGTAACAAGGCCATGAAGCGAGCTCCATACGAGAGCGTCATAAGCAATCTTGTGGAGTAACTGCTGATCAATAGCATGATAATCCGAAAGAGGAAGGGCGGCAGTTCCTTCAAGATCGACACACCTCGGAGGCAGAAATGGTGAGAGCGAAGAAGAAGCCGATTTCTGAGACATGATCTCGAAGGCTTTAGGAAACCGAATGGGGCAGGGTTTGAATGAACTGAAAGAGGGTGATTTTTATTGTGATCTGTCGCAGAAAACAGGAAGAATATGGAAATGGGATGAGTGAAAACCGAGTGAGCATTGACAAACGACACACATCTGACGAGAAACGCAGCCTCGACGTCATCGCTGAGTCATTGTGCCTTTTGTAATGTGAACTTTCCTAGGTAGTTTCATAAAATTTATAAAATATTTATAAATTTTAAATTTTTTACATTTGCAATTTAACAGAGAATATTTATGCTCGGACGGGCATCTGCAATTTTAAATTCTCTTGCCTAAGTATAATTTCTCTATTTTCTGGCGAGTTCCATATAGATGGTAAAGTTGTGTTTTTTTTTTAAATTTTAAAAAATAAAAGAATATAATATAATATTTTTGATTACTTAAATAGATCAAGTATATCATATTATTTATAGTCTGTTTAATTAAAATTTTTTAAATAATATAAATAAAATTTTGTGTGATATTTTTTAAATTAATTTTATTTTTATAATAGAATTCGTATTTGATTTCTTGTTTTTTTTTATTATCATTAATATTAAAACTAATTTATATTTAATATTATTTAAATATAAATAGATCATAAATGATGTAGTGCACTTCATCTATCTAAATATTTTTTTTTAAAAAATGTCTTGTATCACAAAAATATACAAAAATTTAAAAAAACTAAAATTTTATTAATAATATTTTTTAAATGAAAAAAATAAAATAATATTATAATATAATAATTAAGTTTGTGAGGGATTTTTAAAAATTCATAATCTTTTTAAAAATAAATTTATAAAAAATTATTATTATATTTTATTAGTATGTATAATCTTATCTCAAATTATTTTATAATTTGATATAGATAAAATATTTTTTAAAAAATTATAAAATTTTATATATTAAAATATATCTTATTTTACATAAAATTTAACGATTAAAAAATTAAAAATTAAAATATTCAAAAAACATTACAGAAAAATACATTGCAAGTTGCCGCCACTGAAATAAACTCACTTTTTTATTGTCTTTTCATAATTAGTTTATCCAGCGAATCTGCTTTCAGCATCGGAGTCCTCGTCAAGCGCGGCAAGTCGGATTAGTGGACCTTGAATATGATTTAATTATAAATAAAGCCCAATAAACTCTGAAAACTCCCTCTACGTTCACATAACTCAAATGAAATAAATTTTATTGATTAAATAATGATATTAACCCTGATTAAATCTTCAGAAAAACTATGCCTCGGGAGGTTTAGTCACCGTCTTCTTTCTTCCCTCACTGCTCTCCAGATCATACTCCCCTCCTCCTCCATAGCCACCGCCGTCAACGTCGCCACTTCTCGCTTCCTACTTTCTTTTGATGCCCTCCCTTCAGTTGACGCCGGCTTGGTTGTAGAAGCTGATGTTGATGGCGCTGCTTAACCCGAGAGTGTGGTTGCGGGCGTTACGGATGCCATCTTCGGAGGTGAAGGATTGCGTCGGAGAGTCACGAGTGTTGGCATCGTTGAGAGTGGTTAAGAAGCCGTCTTGAGTCATGAGGTTGGGTTTGTCATTGGGAATGCCACCACGTTTGGGGACGGTCTTCATACGAATTTTGTTTTGACCCAATGGAAATTTGAAGAAATCAAAAGGAACCTCTACGAGAATGCCAAATCATGTGGCTTGAAGTTGGAGGTGGAGGAACAGAGTATTAATGGAAAGAGAAATTTCTTGGCCTTCAATTGGATTGTGGGTCTTCCACATATGGGTAGGGTTAGAAGTAGAAGGCATGTATTAGAATTTCTAAGGTAGCAAAGGATTTCATGAAAAGCTCGTCTTCCAACAAGGGCATTAGAGCTTTTGGTGATGGAGAAGCCTGTGAGAAACCAAGAAACTGCACGAACTTCAGTAGATCATTTTTTAATGGGCATTTAATGCACTCTCATGCTTGTGATTGAGGTTCTTGGCCACAAGAAGCAAGGATCGTCAAGAAAAAGGGGAAAATAGAGCAAGGTGCTGGTGATACATGTGCCCAATTTTATGGAGAAAGTATTTTCTTGACGATGATTCTCTGAGAATAGGGAGAAACTGACTCTAGTTTGCAGCATATCATCATCAATTAGATAACTGAATATATCATTGCTTGTAATCCTTTACCTCGCTTGATTTCATTTTCTTGTCTTTGCTCTGCATATCTCGACAATTTGACCACGGAGGTACGAGGAAAAAAATTACTTACCATTATGCTATATTTTTAAAAAAATATTTACTAAATACTACAAATTTAAAACACGATTTCAGTTCGGCCGAGTTTCAATTTTTTATTTTTTTACATGAGCACTTATAATTTGAAAAAAAATGGTGCGACAAGGATGGCAAGTTATGCCTGCCACTATCCTATCTCAACATATGACTGCACTCAATAATTCTTCTTTCCTTTTTCGCTTATTGCTCGTTCCCTTTCTTCTTGCATGAATGTATGATGCATTTAGGAGGTTTTGTTGGCCAACATGTATTTAGATATTTATGTATAAAATAATTAGGGAAAATTAGTAAAAATGACCTTATTAAAAGAGATATTTATGTATAAACTAATAAACATTTAAAAATAATTTAAAATATTTAGAATCTCATAAAAACCCTTTATAAGCTTAAATTTAATGATTTTTAAAGATATAGGAAGTATGAAAAAGTTTAGGAAGCAAAACACTTAAAAACAGAATCGAAAATGTCATTTTAGTACATTCTAACACGTAAGCCACGGCTCGTGGTCAATGTACCGCGACATATGGCATAGAAAGGCCAATCTAGCCTCTACATTGTGTGTTGCAGCTTGTGCACAACATGTCGGCGAAGCTTATTTCATAAGCTAACTAATGGTATAAGTTTTATTACGATCCGACACCATATGAAAATTTTAGGCACTCAGATTTTAAAATAATTTTTAAGTATCCAAGTATCCAAAACTCAAAACTTATACTATTAACTCATTTTAAAACTTGAACCAAGTCCAATGAACTAATATATACTTGATTGACCATTTAAATACATGATAACAAATCAAACACAAAAATTGATTACTTAATGCCAGTTTCATTGAATATAGTTAAAATCACAAAATCACAGCACACACGCCATTTGGCCTCTTTATTGCTACATAACTCACTAAGTTTATATCATCACTACATATTTACAACATTATTTGCACTTGTACTAATATTTTAACCATTCACCACATATACAACATAGAGCTAAAATACAACATAACATGATATAATATAAGTGTAAACAATCAAAATGATATATATTCCTAGTTGATAACATATAATATCATATCTTTAAATTTATGTACACAACTCAAAATAAAATTGGGCATTACAATACGTGTAGCTACTCAGCTAATCCTTGCCCGATTCTTTCCCTCACTTAATCTCGACAATAGAACATGTAAAATAATAATCACAGGGTGAGATAAAAATCTCAATAACTAAGACAACATACATTATTGATTAACATGTTAAGTTATAAACAAGCTTTAAAATATACATAACAACACACGATATACAAATCACCAAAATTATAATGCAAGGCTTTTAACTTGGGTGCAAGGCTGCTGGCTTAGGGTGCACGTGTTGAGCAAGCAACTTTTTTTTTCCAATTTCACTGTTTTATAAAGAGGGGCATTTTGATTATTTGATCAGATTGTTTAATAAATAAAATATTTAGTTTGGTCCTTGAATTCGACTTGATCCTTGACATAATTTCCCTTTTGACAAGGTCCTTTTAACCAATTTTCCTAAATAACTATTATATCAATTTTATAATTGTAATTGTACAAATTATATGTTTCAAAAACTATACTCTGCTTGGCTTATTATTATAAGATACTTTTAATTGAATTATATTCTTGATGAGTTAATTAATTATCTCAAAATTAAACACTCTTTTTATATTTTCACTTACATAATACAAATAAGAATACTTTTAAATACTCTTATTTATGAGCTAGAGATAAGTTACTTATTTTGGTCATATTTATAGGACACGTCAATGAGTATTATGTCAACCTTTAGCCTTTTGCCCTTATTAAATGTTTGAAAGCTTATTAAATGCTAGAATATTTTATCTTAAAAGTATGTATATTTAATAAGGATAAAGTTGGAAGCTTGTTGAATTTTTAAATTTTCCCTTGATTTTGGTAAAAATGCTAGAAGTAACTTATAAATAGGAGCTGAAAAACACTCTTACTTATAAGTGTAATTAATAATAGTCTTTAGCTAAGATATCATATTAAAAAGGGGTGAGCAGACAACCCGTGACTCGCAAGACCTGCTGTACCAATTGAAAACAAGTAGGTAAAAACCCTCTCATTAAAAGAAAAAATAGACAAGTTGCAATTATGAGTCAGCCCATATTTCTTGTAAATGGGTGGGACAATTTACAAGTTAGCCATTAGGCTGCTTATCCTATCCTCTTTTAAATTAAAAATAATTATATGCAGTTTAGGCATAACACACTACATTTTTGGAGTCTAGACTTTACTCTTCTTTTAGTTCCCAAAGCAGAAGCAAAAAGTTTTTGCCAAAAACCCTTATGCCCTCGCAATCTAGCATCTTCACTCTTCACTTCAGGACCTTGTCTTTGGCTCTTTACTCACCATCGCTGCCTTACTAGTGCTATGCCAATGCCACTGGCTCGCTCTGTCCCTTATCTTAGTATTAATCTTTCATATGCAAGTCAACCTTGCAGTTCGGATGGCACACACTCGATGCTTACTTAGACAGGCTCACCACTCACAGTTGCTCGGTGCTTAACTTTGACTCCTGCTTAGACTGTTAGACGACCTAACCATATGACATAAACCCATTCCTACTCGATCTTGATCTCGTCTCTCCTAGTATTGCCCTCATCTCTACTTCATCGTGCTTGTGCTTGTCTGCCTTCCAAGCCAAGATCGGGTAAGTTATTAACTTCGTAGTGATGATTCTCTGACTTTGCCTCTACTCAATTTTGGATTCTAATAACTGTATGAGTATGATTATAATAATTATTTTTTAGTCTAGTTACCTTATTACTCAATAAAAATGCA